CAACAGAGTGGTGGGGCCAAGGACTAAACAGGATCAGAGTTTACACTACCTTCTTGCCCCCTAGGACTATATTTATAAAAGTGGATATAATATTAGCTCTATGCTAGAGATGATGTTACTCAGTAACCTTTGTCACCACACACTTCCCCATCTCTGCTCCCCGAAAAGACACACAGTTACCAAATGTGTCTCCAGGATACTTTACCTTTTTCTGGGCTGCTCTTCAAAGAATCACTTTCAAGACTATACCCCACAGACGAAACTATAGTTTAGGAGGAGAAAAAGAAGAAAGAGTTAGTTATTTGAGAAAGGAGGACCAATGGTTCATTTCCTTTTACCAAAAATTCCTTCCTTAAGGAGCAAGACCCTCACCGACCCCCATGTTCTCAACACAGATTAGGCCAAGAAGAAACCACATGGTAAGATTTGCATACTTTCTATAAAAATAGAAGCCACCATGAGGCTGAAGATCACAAAAGAAACTGCAACCAGTTATATCAAGCAAATAATCTTCATAATGTTCATGGCCCATGTCTTGAACAGTGGTGAGAACAGTACCCATATATTTCAGATAAGGTACTTTTGGATAGTTTTTAAAAACCAAAAAGGATCTGTTTTCCAAAGAAGTAAAACCACACAGCTTTCCAAACAGAGTATTTTATCAATTCCATAAACTTAGACCCCACTAAACTTTTTTCAGCTTACTTGGTTTAAAATGGAAACAAAGGATTTTGAAACGCTTGCTTCTGGGCCTCAAAATAATTATGGATTTGGATATTTTATTTCTTGAGGTAGGAAATATCATCCCTTTATGCCTTGAATGCAAAAGTGAAATGGTCATCACTTCAACAACCACTGCAACAGGTTGCCTACTGTGCTGAAAAATGCTGACCAAATACACTCCCCTGTTTCCGTGTAAACACCCGTGGCCTTTGAATTCAATCATCGGACTAGCTACCTACAAATTCTACACTACTTTATGAAAATCTAACTATCTACAGAAGATCTTCACAGAGGATTCTTGTTAACAGTGATATGATTTACTGGATTTACTAGTTTTCAGAAAAACGCTCCCCATTTTTCACCACAAGGTAATTAATAGATTCCTTCTAATATTCTGCAGGCAAAGCCTCACGCTCTGGAGCTTACCACTGAGTTGGCTGAAGTGGATCAGTTCTTCTTTTGAAAGATCACCACCTTTGGAAGGGCTTAGAGATTCTACTTCAGTAAAAGCTGCAATAAATAAATGAATAAAGTGGTTTTGGGGCTCCCAAGCATTACCAAAGCAGTGATAAAAAGCAAAAGCTTTGTACAGACAAATGGTCCCTACGACGAGAAATGGTGTTGGAGCAGATTAAGTCCTTTCCAAAGAATACGTTACTCTGGAAGAAATACACATCTGTATTAGAGCTATCAGACTGTACTGTGGCCAGGACTGGTGACAACAGGAAGAAAAGTAAAGCTAAGAAAAAAAAATATGCAAAGATGATAAAAGCCAGGAACAGCCCTCCCCAAATGCCACCGCCTCTCACTTACCTGGAGGGATGTGCAACTTAAAAAGAAGCTTGAGTTTGTCAGTGAAACTTCCATTATACATGGTATCTGTTAGAGGAAAGAGGGAAGACAGTCTGTTCAACTGGACCAAACTTTAAAATACCCTCTTAACCTAAACAAATACAACCCAGGGAGGCTGGAACTGGACATGTGTCCTATCTTACATGGAGTGTAATTAGAGATGAAGCAGCTGAGCCTGGGGTTTGCCTACACTGAGGAAAGAACACTAACAATGTCTATGACTTACTAAAATGAAACCACAGCACTAAAGAAATATAGCACTAATGTCTTCTCAGCATTTTTCCTTAAATTTTTGTTTCCTGAACAATACCACTTTGAAAGCAAGATGAAAGGAACAGAGTAGTAAGTCAAGAAAACTTTCAGTTCCCCAGAGATATTAAGGCATTGGTCATCTTGCATGATCTGTGTATGAGATAGCTTAGTATGAGGAAGCATTTATCATCAACCAAACAGGCTGGGCAATGAGATCATACCACTTCCTAATTTTCTGATATTTTGATGGTAAAGCCATATTTAAATTTAATCTCAAATAGGAGATTATTCGCCAGGGGATTAACGTCTCAGAAAAGTTACTAGTTTGTAAAGCCTTGTGTTAGCTATTTTATGGTGAAATACAGACAAGAAAATGAGAACACAGTTCCGTAACTTAAAGCCTTCATCGTTCACCTAAATAGTGTAGCTCCCACCCTCAAGCTTATAAATACACTTTGAGCATTTGGCTTGCCATTTAAACAGTCTTTGCATTTAATGTCACATGATAAAAATTGGACTATCTGACCCTAAATTAAGAGGCTAGTCTCCTTAGGCTCTTTAGATAGAATATAGAAGGTGATACACTCCAGGACTACTCCCAAGATGGAGTTCCCTTATGAATGCGCTACATATGTGTGTTATTCTCATACCAAGAACACAGGCAAATTGTTTGAAGTTTATAAGGCAATCGGAGCTCTCATCCATCAGTCTGAATGTCCACAATGCAAGCGAGTCTCTGTTTGCACAGTGTGACCAGGGGCTCAAGAGATGACAGAGAACCCTGAATTGCTGGCAATCAATCCGATACTGGTCTAGATACGGCAGACTGGCATCGTGATGTTGCAAGACAGGACTATTTACATTCCAATAACAGGAAAGAAAGTGCTCCTTCTGCAAAGGAAAGATAAAATATTAGATTTTCTGAAACAACAACTCTCTCTGGGTGAAAGATGTGGGAAGTTAACCTTGTACTTTGATTTAAAGCTGACATGTAAAACATATGTTGAATTTAGCTTTTACCTCAATTTATTAAAACTGTTTCACACCCGTAACACAGATCACCATTAAGATGGATGTTTGGTAAGTGAGGAAAATGGCACATTACCTTGAATAATTCATAAAGCTCTTCAAGATCACTAGGACTGAATTTTACATCCTGGGACACAACACGTAGCTGAAACAAAATTAAGAGAAAATTAATTAACGAGTCTTCCCTCTTTGGAATAAGCCTGTAGAATAAAGTTATGGGAGACTTAACCTTACGTTAAAAGACACTGTTTGAATATTCCAGGTTTTGGCATGTTACAATTAGGAGTAAGAACAGAACTTCTTTTTAAAAGCAATCAGAAGATTATAGACTGAAAGAAATAATTTCTCCCAAAAAAAAAGGAGCTTCAAGCTAGTCACATTACTTGCGTACATGGAGCCTACACTATGAAGCCCAGGAGATAAAACTCAATTATTTATTATGATATAACATATAGCTTCCTTTATAATGGGCAAATGCATGTTCAGCTCTCAACAGTGAAGTTGAATCCTCATTTTTTAAATTAAAAAAAAAAAAACGTTCACAGTTTTTTAAAACAAAGTTAGCTACAAGACCAGGTTCCATCTTCACAATATGTATGTTTTGTAAAATGAAATATGACAGTTATCATCTTAGCACAACCAGCAGCATTTAGTATCAGTTGCTACAGGCCACATTTACTACAGAAAGAAGCACTGCTTGTTAAATAGACTAGTACTATCATCAATTATTGGAAATGAGCCACTGAAGAAAATAGGCAAAGAAAGGAAGCACCTTGCAACCTCCACCTTCCTTCAGGAGTCTGAACTTAAAGGATGATATTGGCAGCTGAAGAGCTAGCACACCATGCACGCATTACCAGACATCCACGCACGCCACAGACAAAAAGCAACCCTTGTTGAATGCAGTACAATAATCTCTTCAGTGACATTTGGGATTGCTTCCCAGGGTAAAAATGCAGGTGATTAATTGTTTTACTGTAGCACTGTGGACATTTTACAGTGGTCTATGCCTCTAAGAGAAATGCATTAACAATTTTAACAACAGCAGATAGAAATATAGGCCTGTTCCAATCCATCCAAAGTGTCAGAGATATGCCAGCCTTTAGAAGTTGTCCGAGATGGTGTTACTTGTAATGAGACCAGAAGGTCATGCTGTGATTCACAGACTGAAAATGTCACAGGCCAAACCTCAGTTAACAGACACCCTGCAGACGAGAGGGATGGATTTCAGCATATAAAATTATATATTTGGCCCTGTAAAAAGGAGCTCTTCTATGAATTTTCCAAAAGGGAACAAATTTTATCAGAGGGAAGGGTTTAGCTCTTCCAAGTCACTCACCACATTCTGCTTGGTCGTAGCTTCTAACATCTGGATCACATAAAGCCTATTCCTGCAGCGCAGGCTCTCAATGTCCTCATATCGAATATCGCCATATCTCTAAGAAGAAAAGCATTGTCCCATGAAATCAACTGTTGCTAGATTTCATCTAAGCATCTAAGATGCTTAGATAACACCTAAGCAGACATTTTTGTCTTTCTTGCATCTAAGTACAATACAGGTATGGACACAAAGGAAGATCCCAGAAACTCTGAACAAAAAGCATTTATTAGAGCACTAACATTCTCCCTAAACAGTGTAACTTTTAAAAGGGCAGGTGTTTCAAAGAGATGGAGATGGAGAAAGAAGAAACCGGAGTAGTTCACTATGTGGGAAGACAAAGGAAGAGATTTTACTGCCTGTCGGCTCTATATCCAACTCTGCTATCACATGGTGACTACTACTGCAGGGTAGCAAAGTCTAAGACGTGTATGTTGTCAGGGCTTGAAGTTCACCCTACTGAACTTTAGATATTAGCTGAAGTAATTTCTGAACCGTTCCTAGCTACCTCTGGAATTTCTGAAGGACAGGGAAGGTGTCTGAGCATTGGAGTACAATAAATACATTTACCTTTAAAGAAAAGTGGGATAGTAGGCAAAAACTAGAAAACAAATTCCCAGAGAAATCATGGAACAAATTATTAAACAATTAAAATCTAAATAGAAAAGAAATCAAAACGAGCCAACATTCTTTATCAAGATCATGTGAAATCAATTTAATTTCCTCATAGGAGGAAATTCAGTCTAGTGTGTAGAACTGAAACAGCAGATAGAATACGTCTTTACTTCTGTAAGGTTTTTGACACTCTTCAGCAACACATGCAACCAGGAAGACATGGCCTAACCACCATCACCACGCACCAGGTGCACAACTGGTTCTAATACCAAACTTTGAGAACAAATGAGTGATAAGTGCCCAAACTGGGCAGGACTTTCAGCAGTTTTTTGTGTTTTGTTCCCATTTTCGGCAATGCACTTTAAACAAGGTATGAAAAACTGCAACACAGTCATAGAGTCTGAGCACATAAGCTTTGAGGAAAGGTTAGAGGAACTGGTTGTGTTGAATCTAGAAAAAGAAAAGATCAGAGTTGAAAGAGTGAACAACAACAACCTAATAGCAACAAGGAATAGTAGAGAAAACTGCAAATTGACTATCCTCAATAGCGCTCTATGAGCATCCGAGAGGAACTACACTGGCTATTAGGATATTTTCTGACAAGGGCAGAGAAACCCTACAATGGGCTAAAGTTTTTGCAGATTCTCTTTTGTTGAAGAGTTTTAACAACATTAGACATTTCTCAAGGATGATCTGGGTGTATGCTGGACAGGGAGCTGAACTGGATGACCTGTGGAGTTGTCTTCCAGAACTGTATTTCTGTGTTCCTGTAAAGACCACTACCAGCATAGTTCTGACTTGCAACAAAGAGGAACAACAGAGAAATTGCATCTCTGAATCATAACTCATCCACTGGTCTGGCGTCTGGGCACTGATATTGTGCAGTGGCCTCAGTAAGAATATAAACAAGATGTATAATCTAACTCTGAATTACTGTGATGTGATGTTACACGTTCTTCCATTCACTAGTTAAAAGTGACTTCTTCATACCTGATTAGACTGCCAAAGAATGAGTCTTGCAGTTGTGCCTGAGTCATAAAGGCATGAAACTGAACATCATTTTGAAATTCAACTCCGTATCTTTTCACTTAATCTCATTTATCTTGTGAACACCCATGCGAAGCAACAGTATCACAAAGAATATCTCTGTTCACTTATTCATGATTTGTAACTAGACCAATCTGCAGAATGACAAATCTCCATTGCAGCAATCTTCCCATTTCGAAATTTGTTTTATTTTATTTCCACAGTGATATGAAAATAAAACCCTTCACCACCACAGAGTTGTGTTGAAATTAACTGTCTGGTCAAAATGGGAAGCAGGAAATTGACTCTCACTTCGTATCAGCAGTTCTCCAACAAGAGGTTGTGACACTTACCAGCATTGAAGACATTCAGTTTCAACTGAAGATAAAAATTTGCATCCAAAAAAGGGCCTATGAGATAGAAATGGGGATACGGGCCTAGAAACAGGGCTGTCAACTTGGAAGTGGGAGATTCAGGTTCAAGGATCTGCCCAAATCAATGTTCAAAAGCCATACCAAATCAGAGGCTACTGCTTTGGTCCAGTCACCTGCCTGCAAAGGCAGGGGAAGAAGAAAGGCAGTTTCTTTCGCTTTGTCTTTCAGTAATGATTCTCTCTCTGTGAAAGCTTCAGCTTACACTTCAGAACGCAGTATACAGCACTTCATTATTTGCCATCTCTGTTCTTTATTCTGCAAGTATTCATCCTCACTATGAGATCTCACCATGACAAGAAAGACCCATAGTAATTTGCAACTCTTCCTACAAGAATCTGAAAGCAATTTACAAACATGATTCTTCAGTATAACATTCTTGTGAAACAATACTGATAGCAGAAGCACAGACCTTTTATATGATTAGCCCAATGCTATAAAGACACTTCAAGAGAACTTGAATTTCTGACTCTTGTCTTCGTTCACCCCACTAAAGGCAAAGCCCTCTCCTCAGTAAAAGTCAAAAGAGACAGTTCCTAAATTATACAAATTACCATTAGTTAATCTTTTCTGAGTCAAGGCCAGAACATTTTTCCAAAAGTGATTTATCGTGTATCTTTCACTAGAATCGTATGACTGAGCATCAGAAAAGAAAAAAAAAGTATATAGATAAAAGAAACCAGCTAATAGAAAAAACAAAATGTGAACATATCTTTTCTCTCCGCTTGCCTTTCACCTCAGGTGGGCTGAGCAGAAACCTACCTACAAATGGATTAATACCCTGATACAAATCATGCCAAGGAAGAAAACCCCTCATGAAAATCTGAGGACAAAAGGAGAAGGAGAAGCTAGACTTATTTCCTCCCCAGTGCAGAGCTGCAAAGCTAGAAGCTGCAGAAATCAAACTTTCAAATTGAAAGAAAGTGCTAAAAGATCATAACTGGTCTTCCTCACGCAACACATCTCTAAACAGTCATTTAACCCATACAACAAACTACTCAAGTACACAGTTTCCTGCACAGGTTGTTACGTCAAATGCTACCACTATCTGCAATGTGCAGTAATCAGTCTCAAATTGGTAAATGCAAGGGCCGTTTCTGCTGTACTTTGTCGTTCAGTTGACATACTAATAAAGTGAATGAGGGATTGCAGTACATGGCCTGTGATGAACCTGGGGAACTCCACTCAGGACAGCCTAGCAAGCACATTCCAGGCAGTTAAAAAACCAAAACAATACAAAAACAAACCTAGCCCATAACCTGTAAGGTTTTCAGTGAGGCTCAAAAAATACAGAGCCCGATTTCTACCAATCCAGACAGATTTTCTACTCTAGTTTGTACAATGCAGCTGCACTATTTTTGAGGTAGCCCATGCAATGTAAATACTGCATGGGATGCAAAAACATACCCACAAGAACACATACTTCATTTGACTCTCGGATCAAATCAGTAATGTCCACTTTTGGATGGTCACTCTTTGTATTGCTGAGGTTGGAGCCCTGCTGCACAGCTGGAGGCAAAGGACTGTCTTTGTTAGTGACACTGTCAAAAAATCTGCACAAAGCAAACACACAAGAAATCAGCAG